ATGCAGTATGCCCAACTATTGCATAAATGAAGGTTTAGCTTGATCAAATTCTGCACTGGTCTGTTGCCACTCCCATTAGAGAGTTATTGTAAAGATTGTTTCAACCAGACCTCTTCATATGACAAACGGTTCTAAACAAAAATCAGAGGAAAATAAGAGAAAAAAGGGAAGAGAGAATATGACAGCAGTTTTTGCCTCTCCGGTAGTTATTTGATGTTTCAGCAGGATAGGCTTAGGTTCTTGGCAATGACATTTTAGTGAGGAGCCCCTCTGATTACATATGGCCAACTTGGCCTTATGTTTGAAGCTGGGTAAACTGCTCATTTAGTACCTTCTATTTATCGCATACATCATATCTACTGTACTTGTTCTAGTCCCTGTGTCAGAAATTTAGACATTCCAGATGAAATAAGGACAAACAGATAACATTTCTTTTTGACATCATGGTGCCATTATCAGATACTTCTGTGCATCAGTGATCCCTCTTCTTCACCAGTTTAATGGCAGGAAATATACTTGGGAAGCATTTGTGAAAATTCTGTGTCTCTCATTTTCCTATTTCAGCAGCTACATATATGTATAGTCAGAATAGAAAGAAGTAAGGAGAGCACTGATATTCTGACACTGGCTGGACTGAATCACTTGAAACATCATGAGACTGCTACTTTGGAAACTCAGTGTTAGTACATATGCTGTGACTACTAGTGACACATATAGAGTGGTGTTATGGTTCAGCCTCTCATAGTTTGTGAGATTTCAGAAAAAAATTACTCAAAGAATCCAAATTAAAAATAAAACTAAGCTTAACTGAATTTAACTAATCCCAAACTAACTCCCATCAAAGGAAAGACACAATGATCACATGGCGAAAATTGTAGATCACGTATCCTTCGGTCTATATTCATTAAATGAGACTATTTATGGTTGCTTCTGTTTCATTACTGGTATATTAAAATCTATAAAAATTATAAAACTGTTGTTACAAATTTATTTTAAGAATATATATAATATATTTCCAGTGGCTAGCATCCCAATTTACAAACCCACATAGCTAAATTAAAATTTAGGCAGAAGAAAGAATTTGTAATTGCAACCAAGTGACAGTACCTTCTAATTTATATAGTTTAAGTAAGTTTAATTTAATAATGATTAAACAAGACAGTCTTCTCTGCATGAAATTGTCCTCTAAATTGAGCATATCATTAGTCCATTTGAAAGCTGCTTCCATAGAACTGAAGAGCCAGAGCTGAAGTTGAAAATCAGACTTTTAACAATTCTCTTTATTCAATGCCTTTCTTTTAGTACATTTCACCTTTAGTTAGAACTTCATCCAAAATATATAAAAATCTCACTTTGATTTATATCAAGGAAATTGAGAGTTAACTACTTCACTGTAAGTATTTTATAATCAAGTAATGTCTTGATTAGCTTACACCATACAAAGTCATAAGCATAAATGCTTATTCATATAAAAAAAATTTCAGGCTTTAGTAACCTATCTTCTTGATACCACCATTCTTATTAAGATGACAATTACATTTAAAATAAATAAATAAAAATTAAATAAGTAGAATAACTATTGTTTTTAGACAAACATAAAAGACTAGTGGGTTTTGAGTTAATACAAAGGGATATAATTGAGGTTTTTTTGGTTGGATTCAGAAATAATTTTGGTGATCACACCCTGCTCTTTTTGCAATATATATAAAACAATGCATTCAAGTATCTCATACAAGTATTTAGAAATTGTATCTTTGTCAAAAACCTCGTGTTTTATATGCACATGCTTAAAAAGGTTTTAAAGACCATTGAATATCTGCCTCTTTTCTGTTCCACTTCCACTCCACTTTAATTATTCATTTTCACCCAGTCATTATAAAATATTCTATCCCAAAAGGACCTTCTAAACTGCTTATCGTTCTCCTAAAAAGAAACAGATTCGTTACCTGAAAAATCTGCAAATTAGCATTGATGTAGATAATGGGGATAATTAAGCATATGTTCACGAATATTGTCAGGAAATAACATGTAGTGATTTGATTGTTGCTGCTGAAAAAATTAAATGTTACAGAGATATCGAAGGGTATGCATTTTTGGGGGCATCTTATTTGAAATATACTGTTTGTGTGTTTTCCTTGTGTCACTAGCATTATTTATGTCAAATTACAAAGTGACATTGTCAGTTGTTACATGACACTACCAAGACTGCGTGCTTTGAACACAAATTATAAGACTATGTCAACACGTGAATTTTTTGGTGATGTAGCTACTGTTTGTGTTCATGACAATGTGACTGTCTTGTTGATTCTCAGCACTAAGTCAGTTCAAGCATAATCAGAGATTTTTTCAGTGAAGATTCCACACTGCCTTCCAACTAGCCAAAAGAGAAGTTTTAAATAATTTATGTAATTTTTACCTCTCAACAAAACCTTTTCATTACTAGAATATAATCTGCTACCTGAGAGAATATTTATTAGATGGTGTTTAATTTTAATATTTTTTAGTGCGGACGAGAATGGTTAATATAGCAAATGGTGAACAAATTGAACAAATAAAATTAAATAATAAACATTTTGTTCATTTATATTGCTCACAAAAGTATTTTAGCTTATGGCATATTCATCTTCATTATGTAGCCACATAGAAGAATGCATGAAAAAAGGTAATTTTGTTTTTTAAGTGGCTTGAAGAGTATTAGTATTTTTTGTGAAGTCACTGAAATGACGTTTCACTACACATTTGAAAAGTTCTCTATTACAAACATTAATAAAAGTATAATAAATTTACATCTATGTATATGGATAATGTATGTGTAAACATAAACCACTATGAATTACTTATTCAAAAATTAAAATTTCAAATCACAAGTAGTGAAACAATATTAGACAAAATTGCCTTTAATTCATTATCAGTTACAGAAGGCATTATCTGGTCAATTTAGAAAATATTAGGAATATAGGAAGATCAAGAAATTAAAAAAGTATCAAATTCAGAGCAATTATGATTGTATATTAAAGAAAGAGAAAATTAAGATCTAGATTATTCATTGTTCTGGTTTGTGGGGTTTTTCACTGTCCATAAAATATAACTCTAACCAGTATCACTCTGGTGATAAGTATTAGAAATTAAGTGTCTGCTCTGCAGCACAGCCAGCTGGTTTTTCAAAATATTAGACATAAACACTGGCTTTAAGGATATTTTTGTGCTGCGGTGGACTTGAATGAAAAGCAAGCAAAATGCAGATACTCCACCTACAGCACTGTGGTCAAAAAGTTGACTGAAAGTCATGTTAGATGCAGAAAAATATGTTGAATTAGTACATTTGATTTTCTGTATCACTAATTATTTCTAAAATGAGCTTTTACATATATATATATATATACACACATAGCTATATATGTGTGTATCTTTCAAGCATTTCATTGCATTTTCCTGTAATCAGAGAAACCATTAAAGGAGTGTTTTGAAGAAAAGCATGATTTATTATTATTGATATTATTATTATTATTATTATTATTATTATTATTATTATTATTATTATTATTATTTAGAATTTTAATGAAGTTTTGTTACCTATCTCATTATTCATTCCAAATATCAAAAACCATGATAACCAAATTTAGAAAAAACTTTAAATTATGCACACTTGAGATTAGTGCTGTAGAAAGCGGTCTTTTTTAAATGCTTGAATATTTATGTTTAATGGCAATCCATCTTTTGTTAACAGTATGTTGACACAAGTTAAAATTATTGAAATTAAAATAAAAGGAATAACATTCCGTATGCATTTGGGAGAATAAGTGTTCACATTATGGACACAAAGCCTCATGTTTCTGAAAGAATCTAAAAAATAGGGATTAGGAATACTTAAAAAGTTACATTTTCCTTGGCCTGACATGTTGGGATTTTAAGGTAGTCTGGGGTTTGCACTTAGCATTAATTTGTGACAAGAAGTGTGACAATTTAAAACACTAGTCATATGAATCTCAGACAGACAAATCTTGCCAGAGCATTAATGTGCAGAGGTGTCATTGTTAATGGGTATGTAAGGGATGGTAGCAACAAATGTAGAATCAGGCAGACCAATAAACTTGTTGTGTGCCTGTCCTTGACATACCAACTACCTTGACCGTGTGTTAAATTCAGTTGATGTTAAATTCAATAAAGTAGGGGCATTTGCTGGCCTACTGAAAACTTGCAAGAACATCCCTATTCCTTTTCTACATTATATGACCTAAAGCCCTTTGTACTAAAAATGCCAGTTCATATACCTAAGGATATGTCTTGAAATAACATAAAATATGATGCATGTTTGTGTTGTGTGGGTGGGTGTGTGTGTGTGTGTGTGTTCAAAAAAGACTTTGTTTCAAAGGGTGCTGACCAGATATTTTCTTCTTTCATGCTTTATAATTCTCTTCCCTCATGAGTGCCATTTTTCACACTAGATATTTCTTCAAAAGTATGATGAATGTGTTTATATGAGCAATGCATCTCTTTTGCAATATTTAAATGCTTATGAAATAGTTTCTTTCCTTCAAAGCTAGCAGGGATTGGGAGGCTTGAAATCAAAGCCAATTGCTATCAGAATCAAAAAAATCAGAATTGACTACACTTGTTCAAAGTATTTACAGCTGCTCATCTGAGGTGCACTTTACAAATGTTGATGGGAAAGATGTATGCCATCTAAAGGATATCTGAATTTAAAAGTTAAAGATGTAGTATCAACATTTCATAGCACCAGTAAATGAAAATACCCCATGGTCCTTACCTCTATCTCAAGTTTCATGCAGTGATAATTAGGTATTTCTCCCTTGTGTAATACATACAACATGTAAATTCTATTTTGGAACTCTTTTATGAGTTCTTTTATTGATTTGTTTTCTGAGCATGTTCAATTCAAAGACAAAGCACTCAGATATTATAGCTCAGAAAAAAAGGAGAAAGACTACAGAGAGCAACTTCTGGTTTTCTGATGGACATTTTTCGTTTTTCTTTCCAAGGTGACTTTTACAAAGAGGAAATTTGGGTTAATGAAGAAGGCTTATGAGCTTAGTGTTCTGTGTGACTGTGAGATTGCTCTAATCATCTTCAACAGCACCAACAAACTGTTCCAGTATGCCAGCACTGATATGGACAAAGTGTTGCTGAAATATACGGAGTATAATGAACCACATGAGAGCCGAACAAATTCAGATATTGTTGAGGTAAGACTTTGTGTTTTGATCTGAGGTGGAGGTGCTCCAAGTAGATTATACCTTCGAGTGACATAGCAGTGGGAGAGCAAAACAGCAGTGGTGTATTGGCTTGAGCACTGGAGGTGACGAAGCCAAAGCTGCAGGAAATCCATGTCTTTTGTGGGCATTTTATCCTTCTGAGTCTTGCACAAACTTCTGCAAAGGTATTTCTAACTCCAGGATTTTTTCCCAGGTTTCTGTGCTGCTTTGTTACTTTTTTGCATTAATCCTCTCCATGCCTTGATCACTACCTACCAGCTGAATCTCCTGCTTGTCTCCTAGTCTCTTCCAGGGACAGGCTCTCCAGAAGATATTGCATACTTTGTCTCCACAATCAAAAATTTATAATACTGTCTGTCCAGGAGGAATTAAGAATACGTTGTAAAAGATGCGGAAGATTTAAAAGCATTTGTTGCTTTTTGTAATTTGACTGCTTTTCTTAGCTTTTTGATTGTTTACAGAGGGTGTCTAATAAAATGCAAAAGAACAGTTGATTTACAATTTGCACAGTAAAAATATATCAGCTGCTCACACAGAATATTGTTACCATAATATAATAGTGACAGTATCAAAGCAATAGTGTCAGAATGCTAGAAACACTGTTTATTTTTTTTTTAATTACAAGGAGCAATTTTAATTTACAAATACTGAAAATAATTAATTTAAATTTAAAATTTCAAAATTTAATCTTCTAATATTTGTAGAAAAGTCAGTGTACATTGCAATCACATTTGGATTCAAGTTATGTAAAATACATAAAGCCTTCAATGAATTTGTTGTTATTAACAAAGCACTCATATCTTAGACAGATATCTAAAAATGATAGAAGATCTCTAAAAGTTATAGAAAAGATACAACAGAAGTTGTATGTGACCTATACAACTTCTGTTTTTAAAGTGCATGACTGATCTAACAGTATCAATTAAAAACTGAATAGAAGGATGATGACCTATCTTAAGGGTCAGTGAAAATTTACTTCTGAATATGTTGATGTATATACTTAGTTTCCTCCAGATCTTTAAAAGTTAGTTTGAGATTTTGGAATGATCTGAATTTTGTTTGAAATATGACTTTGATACTTTTGGAATCTTCACCAGGGTTAGTCATGTTTTTGAGGCTAGCAGTGTAAGATAGTGAGTTATTTATACATAAAGTATTTAAAAGGATAAAACGTTCTGCATAATTAAGATTGTTAAACTTATTACAGTTACAGTCACACCACCTTAGATAGGCAAAGACTGCACACAAGAATATATATCACTTCTCTGAGTATCGTTATCTAGGAAGTTACTGTTTTGCTTCCCTCCTTATTTCCCCCAGATTCTTCCTCCCATTAGAAGAGGGTGAGGTTCTGACAGAAAAAAAAAAAAAAAATATGGGAGTTAAGAGTAGGAGGAAAGTGCATAATTTCTTCATCCATCATTTCTTTTTCTCTCTTACTTCAGATCTTTTGTATAGACATGAAGTGTTTCCTGCTCCCCAGATCTGGGAAGTCCAAAAGAATTCAAATTCTATGCCCAAAATAAAGTCCTGTCCTTTTTTAGCAGCAAAAGGCCAGAATATTCTTAGCAGAAGAGTTTCCTGTGACAGCTTTTCTTCTTCCTACAGGCTTTTGTGTGGAAATAGGTGGAAATACACTTAGGGATTTATTGCTTGCCTTATAATAAATGAATACATTTTATCATAAGGACTATGATTTTTCAAGGATATTGAAAGAAAACTTAAAATTTCAAATAATGTTGAAATTTTCAGAAAAAGAACTGACTGCACCACCAAAATCCCTTTCTGCATAAACAGCAGAAATTTGGATAGTTGATCAGCAGTTTGCATGCAGATGTGTAATTTTCTGGCTAAACCCAAAGTTTGGTGGGCAAGCCTTTTCATTTTTCTAAAAGGAACAATATAAAAATGGGTAATTGAAATGAATGTTTTTTAAATTGAACAATAGACATAAAAGTCCAAATGAAGTGAATGCTCTATGAGCTCTGAGTTTGACTTTCTGTTACATTTTTCTATGTTCTGCCTGTAACTTTTATACTTAAACTGTATCAATGCTGGTACAGTTTGAGAATCCAAGGAGTCCTTCTCCAGTGTGTAGGTTTTGAACAAGAATTCCATATTTTCATGTCTTTAATGGATAATGAACATCACAGTTACAGGTACAGTAGAGAATAGAACTTTCATGAATGGCTTGACTATTAGTGTAGTTTAGGTATATTTTCAGGTACAGAATATAAATCTGCCACACATTTAATTATTTTAATTGATCAGTTAAAGTGATCAATTACACATTACACACATTTTCCTTGTAAGAGGTCCATCTTCTTTTCCATTTCAGACAGCTAGATTTCACTCGTAAGTTTTTAATCTTGTCTTCCAGACCAATCAACAGCAGCTGAGAAGAAGAATATTTTTAAATCTGAGCATTTTCAACCAAATGTCTATTCAATAACTATATTTCAGCAGAAGACAAGGACATAGCTATGCTCATATATTCCTGAACAGTATTCAAGAAAGAAAACTTTTTTAGGCAGACCAATGAAAATTTGAAATATAACTGTCAACCATATAAAGGTCTTCAATTTAGTATCCAATTTCTGTTCACATTCAGCATAATATTAACTATTTAGTTACTTTTAAGTTGTGGTAGAACTGTTTTATTATTAATTAAAATGAGGTGTAAGTTCTTTGAACTATCTATATTCAAAGAAAAATAAAAGAGCAGCTTTCTAATATGTAGTTAATTATTTTTAAGTTAAACCACTGCTATTCCAGTACAAAAATTATATAACTTTTCATGTAGATCTGGCTAAAGCTGTTAATTTTATTAAGGAAATATTTTCAATATAATTACTGGGGTTAATTATATTAAGCATTTATGACAAAGTGAGTCATCAAGGTATAACTTGTTACTTAAAGTAACAAGTAAATAAGAAAACATGGTCACAAATCTAACAAACACTACACTTTTTTAACAGAAAATTGGTTCCACCCAACTTAGAGATATACGATATCAACAAATCTGTCTTGATAAAAAATTTAATGCTAATAGTTAGAGAATTGTAAAGGCCAGTTACTGCAGTTGTTTGAGGTTTTCTGGTTTAATGATTTAAAACAGCTCGTGTTTTCATTACATACGTAGAAATTTTATTTACATACAATAAATATAACTGAGACAATGTTTCCAGTTGTTTCATCAAAATGTAGTTGATTAACATGTTATTTGATATATCTGAGTTTTTCAGGTCACAAAAATTATCTACCAGGTGAATATGTTTCAGTAAAGACCCAGTAAATATGCCTACAACATACAAGGGCAAATAAAGTTCAATATGTAGTCATGAAGGAGAAAATGTATGCATTTTACACTTATTTCAAGCAACAGTGACAATTATTGTGCATGGAGATATACATTAATTCTGGGAAACAAACAAACCAAACAAAAAAAGCCAACAAAACAAAATCAACTAAAGAAAAGGTACATTCTGAAATTTCTATTTAGCATTAACTGGATTCTTAAATTTGAAGCCATTATGTCCTCACCCACCAAACTATTCAGACCACAGTCATTCATTCAATTTTCCTTCAGTTAAAAAGTGAGCATTAATTGCTGGATTTAGAAATTCTTTTAAGGAACAGCAGAAACTCTGGTGAGTTTATTCAACAGAGAAGAGAAATATAACATTTGATCTTTATGCTAACTTCCAAGTGTGTATGTAAATTCCAACAATAATATATCCAGCATAATTGTATAAGACTATGCAATAAGTTACTTCTGGCAATAAGGAAATAGAAAAGAAAAAAATGTCAGCATTTCAAAACAGTCAAGTGTATGCATTATGTATTCTTTGGATTTATTATGAAACGATGCCAGATCCTTTCCTTGTTTCTATAAAACAGAAGTGGATGTAGCACAACTTATTTTAATGATATCTCACTGCCACACTGCTGTAAGCAAAAAGAATCCAGTTCTGTAACACTGAAAGCACACTACTTTAGGAGCTCAGGAAAGACCTCAGCCTTAGATGGAAGGGGACAGATTTCAGAGCAGGAATATGGGGAAATATTTTGCTGCAAATATAATTAAAAGTCTAACTATGCTATAGAAATCTGTTATGATTCTTCTTCTAAGCCATCAAGTCTTTGCTGATTAAAGGTGAAACTTCCTGCCTGTTTTCTTACTCACTGTCGCTTTTTCCTTCTTTGATGTCAAAGCATCAGCTACTGTCTTAGCTTTAGAAGACCTCTAGTGAGTTTTCATTGACTCTTGGTTTTGATTCAATTTCTGGTATACTGAGTATATACCAGTATTTCTGGTATATGCTGAGCCTTGCTCTGTGTGCACATGAACCATTCCTCCACAAATCACCCACTACTTTATCTTTCAGCTCTTTTTGAACCCCCAATCCATCAATTTATTTGACCCTGCTGCTTTTATTGTCTTTCTCCACCTGACTTCTCTTCATCTGCTGATTCAGTGGTCACTACCTTTAGTTCAAGTTCTCTTGCTACATCAGCCCTTTCAAATTCACCCCTATCTTCCATTTTCAGGCACACATTCATCCATCTCCTCAGTTCCCCCTTACCACACCACTAATCATTAGTAGAGAAAAAAGCAGACCACAGTCTTCATTCATCTTTCTCTTTGCTAAGTGAGGTTTTATGACATGAATGCTAATCATCCACCAAATATTTTAATTTTGCAAAGTTTACTGCAGAAAACCACTAATTTATATGCATGCACAGACATCTGTCTGATCTTTGCAGGTCTCCATTACCTTACAAAAAATTTCTCCATGAGCTCTGTGTCTTTTCTGAAATATCTCTTATTACCTGCTTTTTGATATTTTTCTGGTACATGTCTTGAACTTCTCCTTTATTCCTCTCTCTCTTTCATTATCTCTCTCAATTTTTTTAATCAAGTGTTAGAAGAATTTCATGGTCCTCAACATGTATTTTTACATATAGGA